CCCCCCGCCCCCCACACACACACACACACACACACACACACACACACACACACACACACACACACACACACACACACCTGGGCTTCCTGTGGCTGCAGCAGCGGCCTGGGAATTTCCTTCATCCCAGCCCTTGGCCAACTAGCCAAACAGCCGCTGCACCGCTAACCCCTTCCTCCCCACCCATACCACGGCTCACTCACTCATCAAACATGCGCGGAGGGCTGAGGGTGCCGGGACAGACCCCGTCACAGAGGGAGCCCCGGCCCCTGCCCCAGGCAGCCAGCGCCAGGGCCTGGCCACCCCTCCCCCACACCCTGCCGGGCCTCTCCCTGGGGACTGGCCCCGCTGCCCTGGCCGGCCCGGGCCCGGCCCGGTGCCTCCTGCACGCCCCACTGCCCGGACCTCACAGACTCCGGAGCCTCCGGGCCCTTCACTGCCCGCCTCCTCCCCGGCGCCTCACACGCCCTCCCGCCCCAACCGTCCCTCAGTGCCCACAAGCGGTGGCAGGGGGAGAGAAAAGGGCCGCCCTCCCCCCGGCCCCAGCCCGATCGGACAGAGGGCGGTGAAGGGGTTGGGCCGCTCCCCGCAGCTGCGTCTCCGCTCCTCTGACCCCACCGCCCGCTCCCCCGCCAGGCCTCACCCCTGCAGCGCCGCCCCTGCATCCCGCCGCCCCTGCGGCCGGGGAGTCGGGGTTCACCGGGAGCCCCAGCCCGCGCGCCCTGCCCTCACTTACCCGCCGCCGGCCAGATGCTGCGCCGCGCCGGGGCCGGCTCCGCGGAGCCCGTAGGTGCGCGGGGCCGAGGCCGCGCTCTTCTGCGCTCGGCTGCGCCCCGAGCCCGCGCGCGCGCCCCGCCCCCGGCCTGAGGCCCCGCCCCGCGCTCCCAGCCGCCTGCGCCCGCCTGACGGAGATGGGGGTCCCCGCGACCCCGCCCCCTCCGCAGCGCCTGTTGCCAGGGTGACGGCACTGCGCAGCAACGGCCCCCGGGACCTGTGGCACTGGGCAGCCTGACGCCCCCAGGGTCCACGCGCAAGCCCGGGAAGTCTCCTCTCCACCGTCCTCACCCAGCAGCCGGAGAATCGCCCCGCGGGCGCCTCACTTCCGCTCACACCCTGAAATTCCACGGCAGCCCGTACCCGGGCCGCCCACCAGTGTGACCCCGATCGCCTGCGACAGGCGGCCTGCGGGACCCTGTGCCTTACCCGCGGAGCTAGCCCCGACGTGGGGGCCGGGCTGCCCGCCGACTATCCGCAGGTGGCCCCCCGGGACCTCGTTTGGGGACACGGCGCCGCGTCCCAGAGAAGCCCTGCATCCTGGGTTTCCCCAACCTTCCCGGTTCTTATCTGAGGGCGCAGAGCAGCGCCACTGGGCAGCCCTCATCCTCTTCTCCAGCCGTCCAGGGAGCGCGCTAGGGTTTGGAGGCTCGGGCTTCCTTCCCCCCACCGGCGTCCCCACCCTGTCCTCACTGAGCACCGCCCCCAACATGGCAGCCATGCCCACCCCAGGATGGAGGAGGGGACCGCACCGGCTGCCTGCCTGCTGCCTCTGACAGGAGACCAGGTCAGAGGGTGAAGGGACACCCCGGATCCCTCGCACCTGGTCGGCTTGCACCGAGGCCCCACATGTGCCTGGTTCCACACAGGTGGCTGAGTCTGTGCAGGTGACGGGATATACCGCCCTCCACCAGCACCGGGGGCCTGCCAGGGGTGCACCGGGGCCAGCAGGGAGTGAGGATAGCAGACCCGCCGCCCTGGGCCGTCCACGAGAGGCACACGTGAGGTGCTGAGATGCTCTTGGGCTGAGCCCTCAGGGTGGTTGACTGGGGGATACCAGCCCCCATAGCCACTCACACACTTGCTCTCACTGGAAGAAGTGTAGTCAGGACCCTAAAGCTGCCTCTGTGCCCAGGGAGGGGCCCCAGACACAGGGATGGTTGACCTTCCCCAGGAGGTCTCCAGGGACAAAGGGCCTGGGTAGCAAGGCCACTTCCTGCAGCGTGGAGGGAGGAGGCCCAGGGAGCACAGGTTCCGTCTGGCCAGCGGGCACCACCAGCAACCGCCTGGCACAACCACCCTAGCAGGCCCAGGAGCCAGAGGAGGGCCAGAAGCACCTCCAGGGCCCCCTGAGCCCACAGCACAGCCCACACGGCCGGCTCCCTCCCTCCACCGTCCGCTCTCAGGGAGGGGCTGCCCCCCAGGACACCCTGCCCATCTCCTCTCTCCCTCTGCCCTCCCCACCTCACCTAAGGGCTGCTGGGAAGGCCCAATCTTTAACCCCCGTCCTGCTTGCCTGAGTCAGTGTTCTAAACACCACACACCCCATCGCCACCCCGGCACCCAGTTCTTGCCTCTCAATCCCCTTATTTGTGTGTCCACCCTGCTAGCGCCAGGCCCAGAGCCCTAGGGACGTGGGCCGGCTCCCTCTGGAGGATGTCATTAAATTAAGGGCCTTGAGATCTGGGATCATCCAGATTATCAGGTGGGCCATAGTCATCACAAGTGTCCTATTGGGAGGGAGGCAGGGGTGCAAACACGCACTGAGGAGGGTGGCATGTGGGACCGCCGAGGGGGTCTCTGTGTGAGGACCACCCCCAGGAGACCGTCCTTCTGGAGCCACGTGTGATGAAGTGACCAGGTGAATTGTCAGGGCACCTGTAGTTTACCCTAAGTGGTCCACAATACAATGTACATTTATTTCTACACACACACTCACTTCAATAAAGAGAAACCAAATGTGGCAGGACAGTAAGAGTTGCCCAATCGAGACCAAGGATTTATACACACACACACACACACACACACACACACACATATTTTGGCGGGGAGGGGGGCCACACGGCTTGTGGGATCTTAGTTCTCCGACCAGGGATTGAACCCAGGCCCTTGGCAGTGAGAGTGCAGAATCTTAACCACTGGATTGGCAGGGAAGTCCCTGTTGTCTTTTTGTTTTATGTCTCCTGGGTTCCGTTTGGGGTGAGATGGGATAAACCCTGTCTCATTCGCTGAGTGCAGCTATAAAAAGAAGGTAATGCATGAGGTACTGAGGGCTCTGAAGCCTGAGCAGATTGGGGGGAGAATGAGAATGTGAAGCACCACCAAGCTGGTGGTGAGTTTCTGGATCTTCCCCCCATATCCCCAGGTTGGACTCTGCCTGGTCCAGAAGCCAGACATGGGGACATGACACGGACAGAGAGCTCCAGGAGGGGCCCCCTAGTTCTGCCTCAGGGAGGAAAAGAAGAGAGACTGGGAGAAGAGAGATTGGGGGGGGGTTCCATTTGCTGCTTCGGGGCACCTGGGCAATCCCACCTCCACCCAGGCTGCAGTCAAGGCATCAGGGTTCACAGGCACCTTTTTAGGGAGAAGACCCTCCTCTCCAGTCAGAGGAGACGTGGTCCCAGAGGGTGGGACCCAGTTGCCTTGAGCAGACGGGGACAGCCAGGCCCTTCTCTCTTTCCCAAGATGCAGGCACAGTCAGGCGGAGTGTGCAGGAGGGTGGGGTGACTAAAGCCCCCAACTTCTGCCAGAGGACTGGAAAGGGGAGCCCCAGGGAGCCCGAAAGTAACGGAGGCATTGCCGGAGGAGGGGCTCCAGAAGGCAACCCGCGAAGCTGTTCATGACTTTTGGGCTCAACCCCAAGCCACGTGTGCCCGGGTCTGGTCCCAACTGTCCCTGAGTCCGAGGACTGAACTACAGGACGCAGCACTGCACGAGTCCCACACTGGCCACTGGGCAGTGCCCACACAGGACGGATTCAAATAACACTGCAAAGGCTTTGAAAACAGAACTGACATTGAAACCACTACCCACAGAAGGCTATTTGGAATTTTCTGCCTGAACCCAACTGGGTTGATTGCATGCTAAAACAAAAATATCACCATTCTCAATAGGATTTAAACAAGACCGGATATTCATAACATACCGTTTGAATGTGCAGAATACAATCCAAAATTATTCTGCATATGAAGAGCCAGGAAAATCCAACCCACAAGGGAAAAGAAAATCCAATGCCATCATGTCACAAATATTCTCAACAAAATATTAGCAGATAGAAGCAAGCAACATAAAAAATAAAAACAAAGAAATACCACAACCAAAGGGAGGTTATCTCAGGAAAACAAGACTGGTTCAACGTGTGAAAATAAATCCGTGTGATCCACCATATGAACAATGTAAAGAAGAAACCATGTGATCATATCAATTCATGCATAGAAAGCACTGAACAGAATTCAATATCCATCCGTGATAAATACTCTCAGCAAACTAGAAATAGGAGAAATTTTACTAAATTTAATAAAGGGTATCTAGAAAAGAAAAAAAAAAGATACAAAACAAAACTACAACCAACATGATAGTTAATAATGAAGGACTGGGTGTTTTACCCGAAGATCAGAAACAAGGCAAAGATGTGCACTCTATCCATTACTATTCGCTATTGTACTGGCAGTCCTAGCCAACGCAATAAAATAAGAAAACGAAATAAATGACATACAGAATAGAAGGGAAGAAATAAGACTCTCTCTATTCGTAGATGGCATGAAAGTCTATGTAGAAAATCCCAAAAGTTCTACCAAAAAAAAAAAATCTGAGTACTAATAAGTGAGGTTAGCAAGGTTGCAGGATACAAGGTCAAAACAACTTCAATCCTGCTTCTACTGGAAGCAAACAACTGAAAACCAAAATTTTTAAAGCAATCATATTTACTTTAGCTCCCCCCCAAATTAAATACTTGGGTATAAATCTAACAAAACACATACAGGATTTATATGCGGAAAATGTCTGTTCAAATTCTTTACACATTTTTCCATTGCGTTATGGTCCTTTTATTGTTGAGTTGTAAGAAGGAATTCTTTTTATGTTTTGGATACAAGTCTCTTACCAGATATGTAATTTGAAAATATTTTCTCCAATTCTGTGGGTTGTCTTTTCCATTTTTTTGATGGTGTCCTCTGAAGCTTAAAAACTTTTGATGACACATGCCGCAACGAAGATCCCACGTACTGCAACTAAGACCCAGCGCAGCCAAAGTAAATAAATAAATATATATATTTTTTAAAAAAAACCTTTTGATGAAGTCCAGTTTATGTATCTCATCTTTTGTCGCTTGTGCTTTGGGTATCATATCTAAGAAGGCTTTGCCTAACCCTAGTTAGTCATAAAGATTTTCCCCCATGTCTTCTTCTAAGAGTTTTATAGGTTTAGGTTTTACATTTAGGTCTATGATCCATTTTTAGTTAAATTTTATGTATGCTGTAAGAAAGGGATCTGTTATGGGTTAAATTATGGTGCCCCAAAAGATATGCTGAAGTCCCAGTACCTGTGAGTGGGACCTTATTTGGAAATAGAGTCTTTGCAGATGTAATCAACTTAAATTGAGGTCATATTGGAGTAGGGTGGGACCTAAATCCAATGACTAGTGTCCTTATAAGGAAAGAGAGATTTGAAGACACAGACACATACACAGAGGAAAGAAGAGCATGTGATGACAGAGGCAGCTCTTGGAGTGATGCAGCTGCAAACCAAGGAATGCCACCAAGGCTTGCTGGCCACCACCGGAAGCAGGAGCAAATTCTCACTCAGAGCGCCCAGAAGGAACCACCCCCGCCAGCACCTTGATCTCAGACCTCTAGCCTGCAGAACTGTGAGAGAACAAATTTCTATTATAAGCCATCCAGTCTGTGGTCATTTATTACAGCAGCCCTAAGAAACTAATACAGGATCCAGTTTACTTCTTTTGCGTATAAAAATTTCATTCTTTTGCGTATCCAGTTGTCCCAGTACCATTTGTTGAAAAGACTTTCCTTTCCTACTGAATTGTCTTAGCACCCTTTCAAAAATCAATTGACCACAAATGCAAGGGTTTATTTCTGGATTCTCAGTTCTGTTCCATTGGTCTATATGTCTCCTCTTATTACAGTACCACACTGTCTTTTCTTTTTTTATATTTATTTATTTATTTATTTTGGCTGCACCGGGTCTTAGTTGCGGCACACAGGATCTTTAGTTGTGGCATGCAAACTCTTAGTTGCGGCATGTGGGGTCTAGTTCCCTGACCAGGGATTGAACCCGGGCCCCCTGCATTGGAAGCGTGGAGTCCTAGTCACTGGACTACCAGGGAAGTCCCGCACACTGTCTTTTTTTTTTCAAATAAACAATAATTTTATAGATAATTTTAGGAGGTATGAATGTGATAAAGAATGCTTCGGGTGGGGTGTGCTACTTTATTATTTTTTAAATATAAATTTATTTACTTACTTATTTTTTTTTTGGCTGTGT